CACACACACACACACACACACACACACACACACACACACACACACACACACACACACACACACACACAGGCAAACATTAACGTTCAGGTCTGTAAGTGAATTATCCCAGCTAACTGTGTTACAGTTCAGCTCTGAATCCCAGGCAGCTGCTTCTGCTTTCAACCTGTTACTGCCTCCTGTTGCTAAGCAACTACTGTCAACCTGTTTGATCTACATAGCTTCCCTCATCSAACGTTTAAATATACGCGCAGTTTGAGATTTATCTAAACTTTGAACAGGCGCACGTACTGGCGACTGCCTTGCAGTTCATACAGGAAGCTTGCAGAGAAAATCGGAGGAATCATAAATGTTGTTTACTGGATGCGAACGTGCAGCTAAAGAAAACAACTACATGATACGGCTCAGAAGACGGTCCAGTTCACATCTCAGCTCAGGCTGGTCTCTTCCAAACATGGTTCAGATTTTAAAAAATCTGTATTCTGTTAAAACAACAACATACAAACGCTCTCATCCTCTGCTCTCAGGCTCTGATGAGATGCAGCCGATCACGTCTGAAACATGATGAGCTCTTATGTGGAGGATTCTTATCAATAAACGAGTTTCTCAATATTCAAAGCAGCTCAGGCAGTTTCATTTGTATTCCACAAGGTCTGATGTCAGATACATGGAACAAAGACCTTCTCGCCCTCTGAAACCCTAATGCCTCCAGAATCCAACTCAGAGAGCTGATTTTGTCTGTAAAACACTTTCTGTTTACAGGAAGTGGGACATCAGGTGGTAGTCTGAGGTGACTCTTTAAACCAAGGAAATGCTTACAATATCTTACAAGATCACCACATGTAAGGTAGAAACAGTGACCGGAACAGACACGCGCTGATAAAAACAACACAAACTCAACACTAACACTTGTTTCCTTCTCACTGTGTTCATGTCAGGATTTTGTTTTCTGTTAGAGAAAACATGTACACTACATTTATTCTAAACCCTCCCTCCTTTTCTCTCACCTTCCTGCAGYGCATCTTTCATGATAGACGCTCCCCGGGGGGGCTCCTGGCTGCTGGTCGACCTGAAGAAAGGTTGGACCTGCCGGCAGGCCTCCTCGCCTGGACTCAAGCCCTCCCACATCTCCCTGAAGAGCCGCACCTTGTCCTCCAGCAGAGACATGATCTCTGTATCCTTCTGCTTCAACATATCTGATCGGAGGAGACAGACAGGACCACAGTCAGACAGACAGTCAGACAGGACCACAGTCAGACAGACAGGACCACAGTCAGACAGACAGGACCACAGTCAGACAGACAGGACCACAGTCAGACAGACAGGACCACAGTCAGACAGACAGACAGGCTCACAGTCAGACAGACAGGACCACAGTCAGACAGACAGTCAGACAGGTCCACAGGATATTTACCGGTAATGATATCTAGAATAAATATACGGTAGCTTTATTCTTTTCTCACACACAGACACATTCAGCATGTTTCTCTCACCTCTCATTTCTTTGGCTTTGGTCTCTAATTGTCTTTTGTCATCTTCTGTTTCACTGGGAATCCCTTCATCTTCATCCTTCTCCCTGTWCAAAAAGAAGTAAAGAACACATGATGAACTTATGCAAGTAAAACACCTTTAAAAAATCCATACCACTTCAAGAGTTTACGTATGTTGACGTAGATGATTAAATTAAACTAACCAGGAGAGAATTTATCACTGCAAATAAGCTACATTTATGGTATGAAATAAAAAAGATATTCAGTTTCCACTCCTGAAAATGAACATTTTGTGTAATAAAATATTTAAAATTAGTTTTTTTTAAGACAGACTGACTTGATACAGTGATCTGAGAAATTTATAAATCACTCCAAAAAATGTCTGACATTTTCCAGGCATAAACATTTTTCTTTTGCCTCCTCAAATGATTTATAAATGCATTTGTTTTTCAACTTTACATGTACAACAGGAGAAAACATCGAAAAAGGAAACAAAATCAGTAATCACTTTGTCTTGCACAGACAGCAGCCGAAGCATCGCTTTTATTTTAATCTCCTTTCCTGCCAAAGTTTGAGCTCAGTTTTGTATTCTGACAGAAGTTCGATGAGGAGAGAGCGGGACCATGAAGTAAATCTCTCTYCTTCCCACTGGCTACATTTGAATAATCCTCTGCTTAGAGTGAGCTGCCCTTACAGCCAATCCAGCGCCCAGAGTACATCCCATCCGCAGGTAGAGTTGTGCTAATCCTCCTGACAGCACAGTACTTTGTCACAACTTACTGTATATTATCATAAGAAAACTGGGCTAGGTCTACTTCCTGGTTTACAACAAAGCTATACCTGTAGGTGAACTCTTAAGGAGCMAACCTTGAGTGACAGCAGAATTACACGTAAGAGTAAAAAGGAAAGATTAAGCTGCTGCAACAGTAAAACCTTGAAGCAGTTTCATAGTGGGATTACTGAAAAACCCCACATGCAGAATCCCCTAAAAGCCACGCACTCACATAGACTGCATGGCGTTATGAATTAGCTGTATCCAGGTGTTGCGTTCCTCCTTCGAGCTGGCAAGAACCTCCATCATCTCTGGCTTTTCGGTGCCTGCCGTGATGAGGAAGAGGCCGCGCTCTTTGTTGGCGACCTCCCTGACAATCAGCTTCTGGAGGGAAAGGACCGTGGAGCGCTGGTCCTGAGAGGAGAAGGAGACCGTTTGATGGAGACAATGTGGGAGGGGAGCGGATCAAATGAAAAAAAAAAAARAGAGAGAATACAGTGGGAGGGTCAAGATGAGAAGAGGATGGAAAAAGCAGGAAGAAGGGTGGGTTGCAGCACCAGAAAACAAGAAGGGAGGGGGGTAATTACTGGTGAATGAAAGGCAACGTGGAAGATCAGAGACGACACAAAGGGAAGGGCAGTTTTAAAAGAGGGATTACAGAGTTAGTGAGAAGTTGGGAGAAAAATGGAAAATATGTTGAGGAAGAACACAAACGGAGATCTCTGACGCTGCCAGCTCTGTTTAGAACACCAGCACCACAAACCACCGTTTGATTTCTGCCACATTCAGTCAAACTCGAGCTGTAACCACATCCCAACATTCTTCCTTTAAAACCGCTTGTCTGAGGTTTGAAAAACAGGTTAAGATCTTTTTCTTTTTTTGTCTTCCTGGTGTGGCTGCACTGTAAACAAAAGAGGAAAAACTCTAAAGCGGTGCTCTAAATAAATCAACTTGATTATCTTGTTATGCTTTTTACACCCTCAGATTTTATTTTTAACACTGCAGCTCAGTGAGATGAATGTTTTGCAGAAACTGAACTGTTGAATTTATAACAAAAAGAAGGAGTGAGAAAAAAAACTGCATGTAATCCAGAAATGAAAATGTAATTAAAGAAAGAGAAAAAAAACATGAGGGCTTAAAAGATGAAACACAAACCTGATGGATTGATAATTTGATTGATTATTAATTAAAACATCTCTCTTTCAGAGTCAACAACAGTTCAAACTCGCACACTAAGTTGTTGTTTTTTTATCTGTTGAATATAAAACGACAGCTACAGGCCTGCCCTTGTTTCATTCCCTCCTAATGTGAGCAGGACAGCATGTGCCATGACATGAAGCTGAGAGTCCTGTACACATGGAAAAAACAACTCAAACCTATAAGATTTGCCACAGCTGGGTTAGGAGCCCGGGGCAACATCAACTTTATGAGGTTCAGCTAGCGTGCATGCAGGAGGCAGCCATTACAGCACAGTGGGAAATGTAAGCTGAGCAGCTAATGCTAACAACAACAATGCTGGGATGGGAAAGTCTTTTACCATCTGAGAGGAGAGAGGGAAAGGAAACACATGAAGAGATGCAGGAAGAGAAAGAGATATGACTAAACCTACCAGCATGGCAAAGACATATTTCTGTTCTTTCTCCTGGAGGAAGACCAAGACATCTGATAGCATTAAAGCATGGACCTCTGAAGGAAAAAAAAACAAAAAAAAACAACAGAAAATAAAGCTTTACTAAAACGTTTATTAGTATTTCCACTGTCACAAACACAAAGAAAGTCGGTAAGCCCCCTCCTCACCCTTAAGTTTTCCCTGCGAGTTCTTCAGCTGCAGCGGCCCGTCGTGGACCAGCTTCCTCCTCAGCAGGTCCTCCCTGGCGAAAATCTGGCCACTCTTCAGCATCATGATGGACTTGCTGTCCATGCGGCTGTGAAATTCCTTCAGGCGACATCTTTTCTCGTGCTCGTTCACTTTGCTGTCGACTGCCGCGATCACCTCCTTCACCAACCGAACCGCCTCGTTCAGGTCGCTGTAGTCCTCGTGGCTCTCTGTGTCAAAGAGAACGTGACGGTCAGGAAGAGTCACAGACGTCTCCGAAACCACTTTAACCTACTCCAGATTGCCACAAAAATCCTATCTTAAACCAGCAGAGGGGCACAAATTTTCGAGAATGATATGTTTATTAGCTGAAGTCCTCTTCCTCCATAACATCAGAACTCTGTGGCTAAATAAACRCATTTCTGATGAAAGGAAAAAGCTAACTGAGACAGTAATGTATTCTGAGGATGTTTGCAGTTCAACACAAAGATCAATGCTTAGTGACTCTAAATAYGCTTGTAGTTATTGTAAAATACAATTACTTCTTGTTTGGGTGCAATAACAGAGGAAAAGGTTGGAGTTTAACAGATGTGAAATTGTGAAGTCTTCACTGAAGTAAAACATGATTACGGTTAATAAACACAAGTAGTTTGAATRTCTGCAAACTAAAGTCTGGTTTATAGTCCATGAGAAGTGAGAAGTTCGTCACTTAGAACACCAGCACCACAAACCACGTRAAACTGACGTGATGCATATTTTTCATCTTGCACCCCCTGCTGAGATTCCATCTTGTGCATTACCCCCTGTCAGAACTAGCTTCTCACAGGGTTTGAACAAAGTTTTGRGTGACTGGTGAGAATTTTGTGGCTGCAGTACACTGATCTCATTTCTGCTCTGCTGAGGCTGATAGGAAACACAGCCATCTTTGCAACTGTTTCAGCAAAACTTACAGTCAAACAATCCTTCGAACAGTCAAACAGCTTGTGGAAGGAGATTGGACAGTTTTTACGCASAGAGGAAACAGCGTGGAGACACAGGYGGCTCTCTAGAGCAGTGCAGCAAAGGGACACATCAGAAACAGAGGTGGTCTCTTTGTGACAAATTTACAAAATAGTGCTTCTCCTCAGTTAACAACAGAAACACCAGATATCMTTTCTCAAACTCCTYCATCATTAAMTGAAATAAACTTCCGCTTTTCCAACTGTGGTGTCTCTGTGTAATAGTTTCTGTTTCTGCTGATGTGCGCTACAGTAGCAGGGCTTACTACGACTTTTCTCTTGCAGTTTCTCCTTGAGTATGAATTGTCCATGTGAAAAGGCTGCCTCACAGACACGTCGGATCTTACACCTTGTGATGTACAACCASAGCTTAAGACAGACTCCACTGTTAATACTGGATACAAATCAAATTTTTGCGATCGAGTTTAGGATTCTGTATGCATTATTTCTTTAAATTGTGATAATTCCCTTTTGTGGTTGTTGCACACCAGTGTTCCAAAGCAGGAAAACAYTATTTTGAACTGTAAGTAGACTGTKTTGTTYCTTCTCAGTATATAYGAGAGMTGGCAGGAAGTAGTCTTCTTAAAGCACCTCAGGGATTAAATCAGAGCTCCATCATCCCACATGGAACTATAAAGAGGCTCTGGGGAAGGATTAGAGAGATGGTACACAGTAGGAGACCAGCTGTCGAGAACTGTTTTAAATCAGATATAAATATGGCGTGAAACATTTCAGCTCCTCAGAGTATGCTTGMTCTATTATTCTTAAAAGCACCTTACCAAAACCTACTTCAGTTKTCAATAGATGAGCTCAGGTATGTGAATATTTAAACTTCCCTCAAAGTTTCTAAAACTAAGTTACACATTGCCTATTATTTTAGGCACACAAAAATGTTATTTTTAAATAATTTTATTTGTCCTCACTGTGAGGAAAAAGAAAGAAAACATTATTTTGAAAAAATATTCAAATTTGTTATTCATTATGTACCCTACATATTGTTTTGGCAGACATTTCAGACATTGTGGGGAAAAAATAATTAACTCCAGGAAAATGAGGTCAACTTAACATGGCTTTATGAGGTAATTTAGTTTGAAATTTAACATCTGGGTCAATTATAAGAAAATATGCACCTGTACCTACTTAACAGAGTAAAACCACAATGTTTCAAAGTGGTTTGATCAACAAAATTAACTCGCTTTTGTGAAAGCATCCTAGCCAGCAGGAGATATAAATATCCCTAATCAAAGTTTTATTTTAATTTATATATATAAAACAAACTTCTCTACAGTTTCTTTATTTCTATCAAGGTGTGAACATAGAAAAGAAAGAAAAAACAGGTGATGAGAAACTAACCTTTAGTGTGCTGCAGCATTCTCTGAATCAGCACAGGGTACTTCGTTATCCTCTGGGTCACTAGCAGGATGCATTCTGGGATACCAAGCCTTCGCACAATGCTGCTACTCCTCTTTTTCTGGAAGAAGAAAACCAAGTGCACTTCAGCGACACATGCCCACACAACAGGTGGCAGAGTCACATAAACAGAAACTATCATCAAAATTCAGCCTGAGTGAAAAAAGGAGTAAAACTTTCTTAGTTGCTTCTGAAATAACAGCGAACACTGATGCATGTTTTTATGCAATGTTTTTACATAAAAATGTTCATGCCAGAAAGTCAGGTATGTTTGAGAAAAAAATAATAATTTCAGGAAGAAAAATGAAGAGAGAGACCTCAGTAAAAGCTTCAGGACAGATATAAAAGAGGACTGACTCTTACTTTGATAAAGGCTTTAAAGCGTTTGTCTTTGGTCATGAGGTCTTTGTAGACGTTGACAGCTTCATTGTGACGGCTGCAGAATCTTCCATAAACCTTCTTCATTTTTTCACCTTTAGATCCTGAGAACTGGAGCAGGATGTGACAGATATGGATTCTCAGAACTAGCACTCACAGGGCAAAGAATTAAAAATTGAAAAGTGAAATGGGGCTATCAGTGTGGCACTGCGTGGGGTTGGAGGGCATTCTGGATTTAAAGTACCCTCAAAGCTTTTGTGCAACMAACATCAATAAACTGAAACTCAAGTTGCAAATGTATTCATCCYCTTGGCATTATCTCTGTTTTGTTGCCGTACAACCTGGMATTTAAGAGGCATTCTGTGGGGGTTGTATCTTTTACGCAACATAACTAGCACCTTCAAGTAGCAATTTGTTTTATTGTAAAACAGGAACAAGGCCAGAAAAACAAAAAACACGAGCATGCATAACTTTTCACCCCTCTACAGTCATTACTATGTAAAGCCACTTTCTGCCGTATTACAGTGTTTTCAGGTACAGCTCAACAAGCTCGGTATRCCTAGCCACCCAAATTTTTGCTAATTTTTCATGGAAAAAGTGTAGCTTTGACTGGATCATTGTGGGTCTTTTATCTGTGTTAATTCACTTAAATTTCCTACCGCTAACTTCATTAATCTAAATTATTTTGTGTATGTGCATAACTCAAACTGAAACTCTTTTTAAATTCTAGATTGTAAGGCGTGTCATAGGGGGTGTGAATATATCTGCAACCCTCTGCTTAAAAAGCATTTCTAAACATATCAGGACCAGCAGCCCCTCCTCGTTCTCACCTGGCTGACTAGGATGTCTCCTATCCTGTTGATAATGACACCTCCCTCCAAGCCTCCTCCCTCCAGCTGGCTCTGCTTCTTCCGCTCCAGGAGGCACTGCAGGTGTTGTGTGTGGAGGTCCAGGAGTTCCTCCAGTGCCGGGAACAGCCTCTCGAGCACCTGCTGCTCCAACTGCACATCATTCTGCAGGCCTTTGCTGTACACCTCTGACATGATGCGCAACGTGCGGATGTGATGCATCTCTGTCTGCATCAGCTCTGCAGAAATTTAAAAAAATAATAAAAGAACTGAAACTGTATTTATTCAGTCATAACATAAGCAGCGGTGTTTGCACTCTCCACATATACACAGAGCGACAGAGTGTCAATCGGTTCCTCACATTATTGTGCTCATGATAGTAGAGCTTCTATGAGATGGGATGAGCTTGTCAGAATCAGGTTAAATAAAATCACTATATGTAGATTTATGAACAAAGTGAAAGCTTGTGAGCAGAGTCTCAGTTAATGATCAAACAAGAGAAACTGTAGCTCCAATATACCACAGAGACATAGATGAACTAAATTATTAAAAGAGAAAGCACAAGAAGGCCTGTCGCCATGGCCAATAAATTAATCAAACGATAAATTAAAAAGAGGTTGAGAATTTTTATTTGCCTGTTTGTTTGTTTTGTTTGGTTGGGTTTCCCTCTTTTCCACTCCTTAGTGTGTGGAGGAGAGAACTTCGGGTATTTTCCAGGCGCATGGTCTACTAACTGAACAGATGTTTAGCTAGAGGAGCGTCTTCATTTTATGGACACCTTCTTTCATTTGGCAACACCTCAGGACGCCCTCAGGGCACCGAGTCAAACCTTGGATTCACCGACAGTTRTTGTTTTTTTTTTTTACACTACGTACATTTCATAAACTTCTGTAAACTTTATAAGCAGAGTGTGGGTGACCACAGTTATTTTATGAAGCTAGAGCAGGGGTGTCAAACTCATTTTCACAGAGGGTCACCTGAGCCTTACGGTGGCCCTCAAAGGGCCAGTTGTAATGAACTTTGACGTTTCATGTTTAACTTCAACCAAATAGTGTTTTAACATGTCCTCTTATAAACACTGAAAAGTTTTATGTGTACGACTGACTAAATCTGAAATAAATAATATAGAAATAATATTAAAAGTAAAACTAAAAGAGTTTTAAGCACTGATGAGTTTCTAGTGAGTAGCTGCCATCTTGACTTCTGAACTCTCCTTTTTCTAACAGGGAATTCCCATGRATGATCAACCATGAACAGGCATTATGGGAGATTTATGGTTGATGCTGGCTTTAAAGCTGCTTATTTTAAGACATTATTATATTATCATTTATCGTAATAATTTCGAAGACAATTTATTGTCCAACACAATTTGTTATTGTGACAGGCCTAAGCACAAGCAGAACTGAACCCATTTCTGACTTATAAAGACTCAACAATCCCGTTTTTCCTTTTAGGTGACATAAATGGGACAGTCTTCCCTTCAAACAGACCAGCATCTAAAGATCTGTTCATGAATCATGTCTCAACGCACCATAGATGACGTCTTGTCTCTTCACCAGCTCTTTGTCCAGTTGCTGCAGGTATGGTTGCTCCACACACAAACTCCATGAGTCTGCCTCCAGGTCTTTGGCGTCGGCTTCGAACTCCCCCATCAGCTGCCCGTCCATCATCTCTGTTCCTGAACCGGTAACACAAATTCACACTATACCTTCACAAATCTGCTGACTGACTACTGCCAGCAGAAAACCTGAAAATGTAGCTGACTGAATCACTGGCAATGTTGTGATTTGCACCTGGCTGTGGTGAGTGAGTGTTTTGCTCAAAATGTTGTTTTTGAAGAAGTAAAAATGATCTGCTTTAACAAGAGTCAGTGGTGCCAACACTACTGGGTCAAAACATTTCTAAAMTGCATCTCTTGGACTGTGGCATTTCATTTTATCTTTAAATGGTAGCACAGCTATTCAGCCTGCCACAATAAAATGTGTGTTTGTTGACCTTCATCAGTGAGCGACTCCGTGGATTCTGTGACYGGGTTGGTTCTGTTGAGCGAGTCAGTGGACTGGGAGAGGTACCGCAGGCCTTTAATGGGCATTTCATCAAACACAGGACTGCATGGGGGRAAAAAAATGCAAATAAAGGTTAGAACATTGTTGTTGTTTTTTAAAGCAGGTCACTCTCACCAATGACATTTAAAAACTACTAAAACTGGCTCTGATAAAAATGTTTTTAAAAAGTAATACCAGCAGACAGATTTGATTTGATTTCAGAAGAAATACCCACAGAGGTTCTCACACCATCAAACACACACAGCTCACCCTGCAATGTTGCTTATTGAGAGGCTTTTGGAGAGGTTATTCCCATGAAAATTCATGATGTTGGTGTGTCTCCGAGCTGATGGGATCATTAAAGATGAAGGGTCTTCAGGGGACAAGATGGCCGACCAGGGGCGTTCTCTAGTTCCACCAGCTGAAGCAGAAACAGTTTGGATCACACTTAGAGACTGAAATCCTCAAAACAATCCACAAACAGTGATCCTGAAACAAACTCCTTTCTAGTCTCCTTTTTTATTTGTGATTATTACTTTTTTTCTCCAAAGAGTTCAGCATTACAAATAAAAAATCTTTGAAGTAAAGAAAGTTTTTTTAAAAAGTAACGTTTGCTCATATCTTACTGCACATACATTAGAGAGCACGAGAAACAAAAAAGCAATGCCCAAACCTACACACTGTTCAAGAAACACCTTTTTATTATGCAATGCACAAACCACATTTCCTGCAACAGCAATTTTGCTGCCGTTATGMCAAAAGGAAATGTAAACAAAATCATCTCTAGCATTATGTCTAGGCACTTAAAGGGTGTAGGCAGTGAAATCAGCAAACAAAGAGGTGATAACAACACAGACATCTCTGTGAAAAAAAACATTTAACTGCTGAACAATTCAAAAGATTTAAAATGTGAACATGTCTAAAAGGACTATTGAAAAGAGTTAGCATATGACAAAGAACTTTTGAACTCAGTTTTCAAACTGAGTTCTGAAAAAAAAAACTTTGATTCGACATTACAGGGCCAACAGACACACAACTAAACATTTTTCCAATCGTTTATGGGTAGTTGACTTTCTACCAGGTAACACAAGTCAAACATAAACACTTTTGGAATTGGAAACATAGATCATGGCCCACGAAGGCCACACCCTATGTGGGCCTTGGCTGCCAGTGTAGGCTGCATAAACAGCTGTGAAATGAGACAATCAGTTTCTACGGACGATGTGTGTTTGCTTGACCACTCGATTCCCTGTTTCCATGATGTTACGCTTTTTTTTATCACATCCCTTCTTTTTTGGAGGTATAACTTCACAAAATTAAGAATTGTAAAAAAAATGCAGAAATAAATGAAAGACATTAATATTTTGGGTTTAGCTCTGGTATCAGTACTTGTATCTTGCCTTTTACTTATTTCATTGCAGCATAAATTTCATCAGCTAAGTTGCTAAACTTACATTTAAAAAATAATTTATCCGTCTAGCACTGAAAACATGAAATGTTGGATTTACTTAACCATGTTATGTCAACTGGTTCCACTTAACTGAGTTGAGTAAATTCAAAGCAATATACCAGTTTTTTAACCAAAGAACATGAAAATGTTGCTTTAAATTTACTCAACTCAGTTAAGTGGAACCAGTTGACATAACATGGTTAAGTAAATCCAACATTTCATTTTTCAGTGATACTCAGATGCAGTCTATGTTTTTTGGGGTTTTGTCAGTCAAATCTGTTGACCGCATAAGTAAATACCTACAAACTGGGACAGCCTACGGAGCAGCGAAGTGATGTCAGTGGCCTGACAAAGGTGCCGCACATCGTCTGCAACCCCTGAATTGAGACACAGCCTGTGTGTTAAGTGTGTCCTGCGTCACTCACTGAATGCCAGTCAGGTTTACTTATTCCATAGTCATGGCAGTAAATCTTAGTAGCAGTCTAAACAATAAAAGAAGTTTGGGGAAGTTCAACATTTTCAGCCTTTTTTACTGAGAAAAACCTTTCAGGTTATCCAGGTCTCCAGAAGCTTGGCAGAGGAGTTTTACTCCACAGAAAAATAGAAAAGAAAATGACAACTACAACCTGGTAAARTACTTTGCCTGAGCTGAATCTAATATATGAGAACACTTCTAAACCAGCAAACACCACTGAGGGGAAAAAAAAACATCTAAAGAAACTGTGATGCATCGTTCTTGCTACTGAAGATTGCAAGAATGATGATTTTTTTTTTCCACAGTGAGGGTACACACTGCACAGGGGGGAGCTTACATTAGCTGTATTCCATACATGCTGGCCACTGTGATTATATCTGTTTAGTATGACACTCACATTTGTTCCTCATTGTGACTGTAGGAAGGGTGCTTGAATCTGTTGCTGTAAGCTGCTGTTTGGGCAACTAAAGAGAGAAACAGAGAATCAAAGAATATGAGGAAAATCAATACTGGCTGCAGGACAACAGATTACTGGAGAGTCAGCGGTGCGACTTTGGGGTGGGGGAGTCTTACCTTCATCTTCACCTTGGCACAAACTGGAAGACTGTCCCTGCAGCCCTTGTGTACAGAAGCATTACAGTCTGGAAAGAAAAGCAACAGTGAACAATACAGTGAGCCTGGTCGTGGTGAGGATGGGGCCAGTGAGGGGGTGTTTAAAGGTGGGGGCCAGAAATTCTGACTGGTCTTCATAGCCAGCCAGCCAGGAAACTCCACCAGGCCGCTAATGAATGCCAGACTGGAGCTGTGCATGTGATGCAATCAATGGGCAACTCTTGCTTGTGGATGAAGGGGAAAAAAAGGGCTGGGCTTTGACGCACACACATGTGTACTCTCCACTGCATGGGAAAATTTCAATTATGTAAACATTCCCATATTTACCCTTTAGTAACAGAAAATCATAATACTTTACTGCTAAAACTGGCTCTGCAGTCTGATTTTACTCTGTCTACTTTGTGCACATTTACAAAAAAAAAAAAAACTACCACAAAGAATTCATGTTTCACACTGCCAAGTACTTTTGTAAATACATGTAAACAAATACAAAAACAACCGAGGTGGTCGATCAGGAAGTGCCAGACTAAAAACATGGATCATTTTTTTTTTGTTTCGTCAAAGTACTTCCACATTCAGATGTCACAAGGTTTTAATTCATTTTCACACTGACATGTTTCCACTTCCACGTGGTTTATTTTGCAGATATATTACACAACTTAAACCTACACTATCAAGCCTTACCATCCATGCAGAGGTGACTGTAGCACCTCTGATCTTACGATCACACGAGTAACCATGTGTTCTCAGTCAGGATTGATAATAATATTGCTGCGTGATTCTAGAAAAGCAGCAGGACTATCAGAGATCAAATGTGCTCTCACTTATCGACAAAACATCTGGGGTTTTCACAAGCATGCTTTTTCAAATCTCTCTTTTCTTCTCCTCATTGTGTATTTTATTGCTTTTTGTAGACATCCAACTAGATCCAGAAAACCTGAGACAAAAGGATCTCTGTATTTGTCTGCTAAATGGACACCAGCCAGACATCTGCAAGTATAAACCTCATGAAAACTCCCTCGGACGRCTATAACGATCTAAAGCAGTCTCCCCGAACACAAAAAGAGCTGTTTCTTGTCAGCCTTGAGTATCTGAGGCAGAATGTGGCCATTCAGAGGATCGCTGTAATCCAGAACTCGTTTCTCCTTTTTTGAGCCTTTTTTTTTGTGGCAAAAAAAAAGGACTTGCACAATACTTTACATCCTCTTTAAAGCCGCTGCTTGTGTTTGAGTGAAAAACAATTGAAGAGCAGCTTTGCTGTGTGCACTGACAGCCTGACTGGGCTGATGTAGAAAGAAATAGTCCTTCAGGGAGTTCCACTATTTTGTTCAGGACATACATCTGAGCCAACCACAATGTGAGATGTACGAGGGTCACTAAGAATTGTGATTATTAGACAGGTGACAAATATAAGTTGCTTCTGTTTTATGGTGTTTGTTTTAAATTAGACATATCAAGCGTTTAAATGCTTCTTTTTCACCTTTAAATCACCCATTTTCACCCTTTCCTAAGATGTGTCTCAAAGCAGCTCGTTTAGAAGCTGTCTCCTTTAATCCAAATGAGGCGCTTGATGGTGGGGGTAACGTCTATCTAGCAGCTCAGAAACTTTGTAATTATAAATTAATTAAAGGATGTCAACAATGGAAGACTTCTTCCAGTCTTACGTGTTGGAGCCAGAGTCTGACCCAGAGTCAGAGGAGAATGAAGACAACCAAATTGTAGATGGTAAGTCCAGACCTTATTTGGCAGTTTCGTCGCAAATTCTGAGAGTTATAGTTCCAAAAACGTCAAAGAAAATAAAACTGAACAAATTGCAAAATAAGATCCAAACAGAATATAAAGATATCTATGCAGTACCAAGAGAAACTAAATTCAAATTTTCTGCACTCCTAGAGACTCCACGTTCAAARCAAAATACATATAATGGCTAAAAAGTGGATTTTGCATGAAATGTATTCTTTAAGTAAAAAAAACTGTCTGRACTGAGTTTTATGCAGCTGGAAAACAGAAAAAAAACATTGAACATATTTTATACTGTATTTGTTAATATAGGGGTGAACTGTTCAAAAATAACTGAGCGCTAACTGTGAGCTGGCATGGTTCACTGTACAGATCGAGTAAAGATGAAGACTTTTCACATATATTTTTCGTTTTTTACATGTTCTGTTTTACTGGGTTCACAGTTTAGCGAGTCTTCAGATTAGACATGAAATTAAAGGAGAGTGAGTTTTGTTGGAAGACTAAAGCACAAAATTGGTCCAAATTTGAAATAAATCAAACACTAATAAATAAAAAATCAAACAGCTAAGAGCGAACACTGGAATAAAAAAAAATCTCAGCCTGAAAAAAATAAGTACTTACATGTGCAAAGGAAAACATCTTTGCCAGTTAACGGTTTATTGCACTGGGAGCACTGGGCAGCCGGGTTTGAGGCGATCTGTGTAAAGAGATGACCGTTCACTGTTTTCTTGTCCTTCTCCTTGACCTCTTTGTCTTTCTCTCTTTTCTCTCGCTCCTTTTCCTGCACAGATGAAACAGTAATTATGACTCAATGGGAAGTYGGGTTTGAACAATTATTCAGGCATGTTTGTCATTAAATCAGAGACTAAAGGAAGAGGGACACGAAGAGAAGCCAGGGTTCCAAGTGGAACGGACACACGCACCAGACGCTGTTAAAACTTTCCACCATTCGGTCAGCAGCTTATGTCGAATCTCAATTTGAACCCCATGGAGTAACATAATTACTCTGATGTGCTGCATGGCAGGAGGTCTTTGCATATTAAGAGATGCATTATTTATGCTGACAACAAAGTGTCTCATTAAAAGAAACACTTTCATGTTTCTGCCTTTTCTGCTTGCCTGGGACTGGTTAGTGAGCAATGTTTAGGATTATTTTTAACTGAACAAATAATAGAAGTGCATTGGTGACCATTATTACAACTAAGTTGCTGATTTTAATGTGATTTATTTCTTTGGAGTCCTTTTAAAATAATCCTTTATTTGTACAGTAACTGGAAGAGGGACAAATCTGCGGGGTACATGACTTGTGACGAAGACAGGCGGCCTGGGAATCAAATCTCTGACCTTTCCAGAACAGTTTGGTCTTTCTGCTGCTTCTGYATTAATGGACGAGCTCATCCTCAGCAGTTGGTCATCCCCGCACACTGAGCTCAATCACAATCCCATAAAGTGATGCAGAGAAGAACAGAGCTTTCATTCTTTTGGATTTGCATCACAGAGCCTCCACCCAAACCCAGAGGAAATGGGAAAATGGAGTTTTCCAGCTCGTTTTAATGGCCAGCCCAGGGCCTCTTGGTCTGCGAGGACCACAAAGCTCTGACATATTCAAACTCATTTTACTCACTTTCAAGACGCCAAAGAGCTAAACGTACCACAGTATGGGTTCAAAGCAATTACAGCACACTGCATTCAGTCTCACTTCCTGCAACAACAGCCGCCAATGGTGAATTATTCTGATCAACTTTTCTGAAGTTAAAAAAACGTTTCTGAAGCATTTAAAGTCCTTTTTGATATCTTTTGTACTGGAAATATTTTAGGAGTCGAACTTACAAGAAAAGWCAAAACAAAACAAAGGTCTGTTAGACATTTTTTGTTACAAAAAACGTCAAACAGAAGACGTAATTGCTTGTGACATCTAAGCCAGAAATTTAAACAAAAAGACATTTTAGCATAACAAGGTCTAACAGGCTGTGACTTCACTGGAAAAAGACATCGCTCCAAAAGGGAACGCTTTAATCCTCATATTCTGACAAGCACCGCACTTTCCTTGTAATATGACTGAGAAACCAGAGAACTGTTCTCTCCTACCTCCAGCCCACATTTCCTTCTCAGCGAGAAGCCATGGCCCCCCGTGAGTCTCCCGTATAACATCCCTGGCTGCGGCCAAGCGGCTGAAGCTACAAGCAGCACTGAGGCTCCATCAGGAACGCTGCAAAGAGGAAGTGACTGCAATGCAACAGGAGGTGCTTTTTCTGCAATGACCCCTCAGTCTGGAACAGACGCTGTGACAAAACTGCTCAATCTGCATCCTCTCCCGCTACTTTCTCACTTTCAGTATTGTACAGACACTAGAACTGTGCGACACTGCACACTTAAAGCAAAAAGCAAACAGCAAGCAGAGTATGAAGGTTAATAAATCAAGTAAAGAAGCTCGTGATTATCTGTTATTGCTGGATTTTTACTGACAGGGCAGATTGCAGTTTAACAACACTGACAGGCCTTTACAACCACATGACGTCATCCAACACTTTTATGTTTGACTCATAGCCAGTATTTCTAAACTTTACCAGGGAACAACTAGCCGCAGGTGGCTGCTAGTTTTATCAGAGCTCTGTCACTTTAAAAGTAAAAAAAGAAACATAGCTCAGTTTAGAGAAGAGATTAGAAAACCAAAGCCAACTCAGACTTCCTGTTTTACTTCCTGTTCACCCCTCAGTGTCTGTTTGCAAAAGTGTTTTTCAGAAAAGACGCAGGCGTTTCTGTTAACAGGAACATTGTTGTGGGGCTTTAAAAAGGTTTTAGCATGTTTCATTTTGGATTGTCAGGAAACCATTTAAGAACACATTACAATACGTACATTTGATTAGTTTTTACAGAACAATTTAATCTATTTTTACATAATATGATACCTTTTAACAGACAAAAATATCAGTTCCTGATAAGGATTTTGATTCAATTCAGACAATAGCAAAAGTCTAGTTAAGATTTTTAACTTTTAAAAGTTACGACTTGTGGTTTTATTCAAATGAACCTTTGCCCAGAACGAGTCAGTGCAATTCTTAGTAGCAAACAGTGCTGACAGACAGCCTATAAAAAGACCTGAACCGCCTCATGTGGGAAAATCTACTGTCTCTACCACTTTATAGTCGTGTAATGTAGGTTTTCCATTTACTATATCTTCAGGTTACGAAACACAAGTTAAACACGTTTTACTTCTAAGCAAGAGAAGATACAGAATTTAAAAGCCTAAAATTGAACAGAGGTGTTTCTGAATTATAATAACAGCCAATAATGATTCCGGTGTTTTAAACAAAAGCTTCTTTTGTTTATGTCATTTCCAAATCACAGCAGTGTTGTTAAAGATAAAACTCATAGAGCTCTGATAAGAGTTTATCTCTAAAAAACAAAGATGCCTTTGAGCCCATCCCGCAACAGATTTATATTTCTGAGCAGAAACTGTTGTGAAGTCCAAACTGAACCTGCAGGGGAAGTTTGATTGGAGGAAGTCACAAGCCCTAAAGCGAAGACACATAACCACCAGCTGTTGGACCGAGGCGGCGTGAGGCCAGCAGAAAAGGTTTGAATGTAAATGTATAACGTGAGTATGAAAAAAGCTGCTTTGTTCTGGCTTAAAGGTATGCATGGTTAGGGAGAAGGCTTCAAAAAGGTGCCTTAGATAAAACCAAAACACACTACTGAAGCCTTCACACTAAATTAATAAAAAAATAATAAATAAATAAATACATAAACAATGTATATTTAAAATGCCTGGTGTGTTCAGAGAGCTACAGAGCTCCACGTTGTCTCACCCTCGTCTTTTTGGACATCTTGCTCTTGAGGTAGCTGAAGGTCCGGCTAACTTTCGTCGCACTCTTGCCGTCAGTGTCGCTCCGCAGAGGTCCAGGCTCCTCCTCTGATATACTGAAACACGCACATCATTGTTACTATTAAACAGCTGCATTCACAAAACATACCTGCTCTCTTATACTGAAGCAAGTTCTTTATAGCACCATAAAGACTCCACTGTCCTAAGGAACCAGTCCACTGCTTCTCCGTACTGCTCTTTATAGGACTATAAAGGCTGTTGTGGCTGTGAAAACCTAAGGAGCCATTTCCAGTAATGTGTACGAGCTGAACTGACCTGTATGCTACGGAGCCAGAGGTGCTGGAAAACGACCTCGTACCTGCAAAAAAATAAAAAAAAGGTGAGAGGAAGTTAAGAGAGGGACTTTTTCTTTTCTTGATGCTCTATCTTTGTTACATCAGTTGAACTTTGTTTATAAGTCCAGTAATTCTAAAGGGCAAAAAATGATTTGTGGAGATGAGCAAACAGCCGGCTCATTTATCACTGGAAATAAAAGCTCAASCGAAGGTTGCTGAATAATGTTGAAGGTGTAAGGATTTGTCGAGGACTACTTTCAAAGCTCATGAAGGAGCTATTTTGCCATTAAGAACCTTTATAAACCTGTGGAGGGTCTCCAACCAGGTGACTTAGACACAGAGAGGTCAAACACTGGAAGCAGATCTGCTTTTTTTTAGTCCAATATTTTCTGTCCTCATTATCTGAATCCTATATGAATATAAACAGCATTAAACAAACTGAGCAAACAGTTAAACCATACACCACAGGCTTTTGCCACATGGTAACCACAGGGTGGATTATAAAAACATTTTAATGAGAGGAACATTAGGCTTTCTAAAAAACAATCACTTCTTCTCAATATTCAAAAGTACAAGAAAAAATATAAACAGCACTACCAGCCATCTCTGCACCATGAAGTCAAACAAGGTAATAAAGCAAAGTAAGACATTGTGAGACACAAAGCACTAATGGAAATATCTCATGAATAAAAGGAGGAAAAGAAAGGCTCAGTGTCTTTGACTAAAGGTGACAAGCTTACATATCCTCAGATTACTGCAGCGCCTATTCATCTTTTTTTTCTGGTTATTTTTTTCCACAGTTTTTTTGCCCACAAAAAAAAAAAAAAGACTGCAGAAAGGCCAGTTTATGTAAAGGTCATACTGTACAGCACAGGGGACAGGAGAAGCCAAGGCGCTATTCAATGTGGCAAATAGAAATGATAAACACAAAGCTTGTTGCCAAAGCTTTCTTCTTTTGGCATTTTAGCATATTTTAAATCACTATTCAAAAAGCCCATAACTCAACATCAGCAGTAATTAGTGATACTCTTTATGATACGTCTCTTGTGATGAATCATTATGGTTTTATTCTGCTATAAAGGGGATTTTTGGATGAGCCAGTTCTGTGCTGAAGTGGTCAATTAATAATAATTTAAAAAAAAGATTTATAAAAATCATGTTATAAAATGGACAGAGAACCACTTGATTTTTCTCGTGGCCAAGCTTGGCACTTTAGAGAGGAGAGGCAAAGGTCTGCACCCCCCACAGGTGGGGACATCAGTCCAAGTTGTTACATCTGGGTGGGTCGAATGTAAAAAGGCTGTCATGTGACAACAACACAAACTCCACCTAGCAGCTCAGAGGGCAACACCTCAGCAGGATGAGTCATATTTCTATYCACACACAGCCACAGAGAGAGGAGCTGAAGCCATGAGGTGGGTGGGATGGGTGGGGGGTGGCACCACCTAGGGCTCAGATAGGAAAAGCTACTGTTCTGATTTTAATACATCTAGTTTCTACCAGAGTTTACAGCTCTGTACTTACTTGAGTCATCCTCATCATCGCTTGATGAAGTSTCTCCATAAATGAACTGAGACTTAGATTTGGTGAGGATGGGAGAAAGGTTGAAAGAGAAAGAAATTCGCCTCTTACGTCTCAGACGCCCCACCGCTGGGGGGGTAAGTGGCAGCAAGGAAAGAACCACAGCAGATTTAATTAAATTACAAAAGCTAAGATAGCCTGTTAATAGATGAATGTGGGGAAGACCAGCTGCCATGGGTTTAGAATTATTCACTCTACTTGGCATTCTCTGTTTTGTTGCCTGATCGTCTCCAAATAAAGTGAGTTAAACAGGGGAAAAAGTACCTTAAAAATTCTAAAACAAACATAAAAAATAATGGTGAATAGTGAAGGCGATCCACCTGTTGGCAATCTAAGTGTCAAATCAGCATTTCTTCTAGCAGACCAGGCAGAAGAGAGTTGATCAGAGAAGCAACCAAGTGACCAAAGATGGATCTGATAAAGCTGGGTAGCTCTTCTGAAGAGGTCGAAGTATCTGTTCACAAGATCACTTCAGCCCTCCTGCTGCCCTTGGGTAAAAATGACCCATAAGCATTGTGACTTATTTTGACCCTAGGATAGCCCTACAATGAACAGAGCTATTTTTTTATGGAAGTATGTCTGGAAAAAGCTATTGCTTAAAAAACTAGACAAAAGAAAACTATCAAAAAACATTAAGCAATATGCCAAAAGACATCATGGAAATTCCCCAAACATCTAGAAGAATGAGCTTTGGTCAAATTACACTAGAATGATTTTTTTTTTAACCATTAAGAACACAATCAGCACCTCTCATGGTGCTGATAACAGAATCTCCACAAWGAAGCATCGCAGCGGCAGCATCATGGTGTGGGGATGTATTTCATTAGCAGTAACTGGGACAGAGGTTGACCTTCCAACAGGATAATGACCCTGAACTCAAAGTTGAAACAACATTCCGGTGGTTTGACGAGAAACGATTAAATACGCTGCAAAGACCACCAGAGAGTCCACCTGAGAATTTGTTGTTTGAGTTTGCAGTTTGATTGCTGCACCCACCTAACCTGAAGGAGCTGAAACAGTTTTATCATGAAAATGGGTGAATATGTCAGTGGCTTGATGTGCCAAGGTCACAAAGACGTAACTGAAAAAAGAATTGCTACTTTATCTGATGCAAAAAAGTGGCTTTCATGTTTATTTACTATTCTTTTTTGTTTGTTTATTTTTTCTTATTTTACAAAGAGAATGCCAGTACAAGTGAATGTTTTTGCAACCCCTTGTAATAGTACCTGGTATAAGCC